AAGTGTAAGTATTATAATCCTTTTGATCTAGATGCATGCAAACACAAATTTGAACAAGAACATTCAGTAGTTCTTTAGTTTTTGGTTTTTCTACGATTTGGTTTTACTTGAATATTGAACGTAATTATGGAAGGGTTACTGGTTGCAGGTAAAAAGCAGTGGAACAAAAACTGGAGTAGAGTAAAAATTGTGAACAAAGGTTGTAAGGGGTGCCACCACAAAATCATCTTCACTTCGTGCGCTGAGCAGCAAAGTACGTTTTAACTTTTAACGCTATTTTAGGTTTCTTATTTTTAATCAAGAATAAAATATGCTTTTGATTTTAAAAATATAAAATATATTATATTTGTCTTTAATTGTCGCATCATTCGAACCTACTAAATCTCCGGTGTCCACCGAACCAGAAGCTCTCTCCACACACGATGATGCACGCCCACTTGCATCTACGTGGAATTATGAGTCAACTTGGCTCGTTGTGGAATTTGTTTTGATTAAAAAAAATGAACTTTTAATTATTAATCAATACAAGATGCATTCAATTAATTCAAAGGGTTGGAGTTGAGTAATGATTTGATTTAATCTTTTTAATTTTTAATATTTGAATCTTTTTATTTTATACCTGAATGTATTGTTTTTAAAATTGGATGATCATTAAAATAATAAAAATATGAGTTTAAAGTTTAATTGAAATTTAGTCGAATTCTAATTAAATTTAATAAAATAATATGTTTATGATATAATAAATTTATTAATGAAAATAAATTCACTTATTTTATTTTAAAATATTAAAATAAATTTAGTTTAATAAAATATCTTAAAAAAATTTTAAAAAAAATCCAAAAAATAAATTAAATTAAAGATATCCTAAATTAAATCAAGTTTATTTTAATTGATCTATTTAAGTCATTATTTATATAGATTTTAATTAGATTATCATTATTAATAATAATTATTTTATAAATATAAATAAAAGTAATATTATTTTATTAATATTATATATATATATATATATATATATATATATATATATCATAAATTAATTTGATAATAGATAAAATCTAATTATTAAGATAAATTATTAAATTACTAAAAATATATTATGATAAATTTTTAATTTTTATTTTAGGATTGGGTGGATTCATTCTTCTATACTTTATTTATTAAATTATTATATTTAAAATAAAATTTTATTTTATTAATATATATCAAATTTTAAAAATATTTTTTATTTTTATTTAAATATTTTTTAAATAATTAATTTCAATATAAACACATTAATATTTAAAAAAATATAATTTAATTAAAATTAATTTATTAAGTTAAATAAAATATCATAATTTATTTTAAAATATAAATTAAATTAGATCATTAGGTATTTTTATTTTATCATTAGGATTGGATACGAATAGAAAAAGTATCTCTTTTAACGATTCTAATTTCATTAATTTCAAAAATTAAAAATTAAAATATATATTTAAATAAATCAACTCATTAACAAAGTAGTTATAATAATTGAGACCGAATTATAATTTTTTTTCCTTTACTAAAAAATTAAATCAAATTAAGCTGACTCATGGAGTGGGTGGTGGTTAACACCTGCAGTAATGAAAAGTTTGTCTTCCGCGCCATCATGATTCAGATCTACACGCTTCAATTGTTGAAGGGCATCCGCGACACTCTTTCGATTTGATTGAGGTTTCTTGTTCTCCTATACAATTAAAAACGTGAATTTCCTGGTTGATGTTTGAGGGTGGGGTTTGGGAGGTCAATTATTTGGGGTTTAGAGTCGAATTCAAAAGAGGGGAAACTGATTTTCTGAGAAAGTAGCTGCAAGTCCATGAAATCGTTTTAGCTGATGAGCCAGAAACTGAAGATTGGAAACTGAGGGAGCAAAAATTGAGGACAAATAGAATTGTAAAATATATTATAAAAAATTACACAAATTATTTTGAAATATATAATGACGAGAATATTATTTTGAGGTAAAAAAATTTCGACAATGATTTATTAAATTAATTATTTCAAAACTTAGGACATTTTCAACAAAGATGCTTAGATCAACTATTTTTATTGCTTAGAATTGTTTACACAACTCTTCTCTTAGAAGAAAGTGATATGACGATAAAAGTTCTATAAATTTTGGAGGAGTTGCATTATAATAAAAATTATTATTTTATTGAATATAAAGAAAACGGACAAAGAAAATTAAAAAATATTACCAAATTAATGTTATAAATAATATATTAAAAAAAACTACTAAGATAAATTTATTTACTGACACAAATTTTAATAAAGAAAAATAAATTTGTTTGACATCATATAATTATTTTCTTTTTTTATTAATTTTTTTCTCTTTTTTCTCATTTTATTTTTTAATTTAAAATAATATATTAAAATTTGATAATATGAATTTTTTATTATTATTGAAAAACAAAAATATTTAAATGATTCAAAAATACTATAATTTAATATATTATATAAAAAAATATTATATAATAAATTTAAGACGTTATAAATATTATTATTATATTATAATTATTAAAAAAATTAATATTTATTTTAAAGTACTTTTTTAATAAATATTTTTTAAAAATGTCTAATTATTATAACTCAATTTAATTATAACTACATTAAAATATTAAATAAAAATATATTTAAATTATAAATATTTGATATTTTTTAAATTACATGAATAATTATTTATTATTATAAAATACTTTTAAATTATTTATTTACATCATTATAAATAATATTATTTATTATCAAAATAAATAAAATTATTTATTATCAAAATAAATAAAATTATTTATTATTATCATCATTTTAAATATTTAGTTAATATTTTTTTAGTTTTAATATTATTTTTAAAATATTTGTTTTAACATAATTTAATATAATTATTTAATTAAGAGAACAAACGAGGGAGAAAAGAGAAAAATGAGATAATTAAAATAAAAAAAGTTAACGAAGAAAAAGATAAAACAAATTTTATGAGAAAAGGGAAGTAAATTTATATATAAATCGTAAATCGATCTATTTAGATAAATAAATTTATATAAATTTTATTTAAATGATTTTTTTTAAATATATTATTTTTAGGATTGCTTCAAAAAAAATATTATAAAAATTCAAGTAAAAAACATAAAAAGAAAAAAATATATGAAATAATTAATTATTTAATATTTATAATAATTCTTGAAATAAAATTATATATAAATTGTTTGATAATTGAATTATATTTATATAATTATAGTTTTCAATATAAGAGATATTTTAATAATTTTAATTGAATCTATATTTTGTTATGTACTTTGTAAATATATTTTATGTATACTTTCGAAATGATTTGTAGAAGAAAGTTATTTTCTTAAATAATTTTACATGAAAATCTACTATACAATTGGTTGTGATTATAAGTTAATATTGTCATGAGTTACTCTCTTCCTATATCGTGTTATGAAAAAAAAATCAATTTTAATAATTTTATTATTATTGTTGAAATAATTATTTTATTATTAGCAATCTTAGTTTTTTTATCACATTATTTTCATAAGATCAACATTTATCATTAATATCATTATTAATATGAACAATATCATTATTCAGGAAATCAACAATTATTACTATCTTCGTTGGATAATCAAGAATCATCATCAATGAATCAACCATTTTTATTGTTATCATCACCGTCACCTCCATCATCAGTACATCAACAATCACCATTACCGCCGCCACCACCATCATCATCAATACACCGATCATCACCACCACCACCACCATCATCATCAATACACCGATCATCCCCACCACCACCATCAATGCATCTACAATCACCACCGTCACCATTGCCACCATTTTTTTTACTATCACCTTTGTCACCTAACCCTTCTTTATCACCATCATCAATACCAACACCAACACCAACACCCATATCTTTATCGCCTACCCCTTCTCCATCGACACCAAAACCAACACCCATTTCTTTATCACCTGACCTTCTTTATCACCTGCACATGCTCCCTCACCATCGTTAATACTAACTCCAACATCAACACCGGTTCAAGGTCAGATTTATGTTGCTTTTTTAAGTATCAATTATTTTTCTTTCTCCCAATGTACTACATAGTAGATTATGTTCTCATATTCATAACATTAGATATACTTTGAGAATCCACCTAACTTACATCCAAGTGGTAAGTGAAAAGAGAATTTCATTTTCCAAACATTTGCCTTTACATAAACGATACGTGAATGAATCTCTTTGACCTAATTCACAGTCTCAACTAAAGTTTTATGATGCAAGAGACTGGAATGTGGAAAGATATCTGATACAACTAAATGAAATTATGTATGCAATTTTGTCATCAATATTAAGTGATTGCTATAAAATAGAATAGTTTCCTTCAATCTATATATCATCTCCCAAAATGACTTTTGTTACAACAATTAAAGATCCCTATTTATTTTCCCTACTTATTGATGCAGGTCACCACCATTTTCGGAAAAGAAAAATCATTATAGGTAATAAATCAATTATCCTTTTATATCACTTATATGGTATATATATTAGAAAACTGTAATATACATTGTCTACTTTGTTGGTGAATCCAACACATATATATATTTGTAAATTAATGATAACTACAAAATTCTTTGAAAAGTTATTTTCATCATGAGAAAATCTAAATTAGCTTTCATGAAAAGTATCAATGTTGTACCTCTTATTTAATCAAACTAGAACAAAACTTAGTTTTGCAAAATAAAAGAATTATCTTGTCTCTTAACTCCTAAATCTCTTGCGATATTTGTTAACAGGTGTTGTATGTGCAGTATTAGCAGTATTCATGATAAGCATCATAGTTTGTTATTTTAGATACAAGTCAATAACTCGAATAGTCAAATTTTGTTTGACCACAAAGAGTGACATAGTTATTGAAGAATTCTTAAAGAATCATGGAACCATAGCATTGAAAAGATACAAATTTTCAGAAGTAAAGAAAATGACAAATTCCTTCAAAGTTAAACTTGGCCAAGGTGGTTTTGGTGCAGTATACAAAGGAAACCCACCTGTTGGTTGTCCTGTGGCTGTAAAATTATTAAATGCATCTAAAGGAAATGAAGAATTTATCAATGAGGTAGCTAGCATCAGCAGAACCTCTCATGTTAACATTGTCACACTTCTAGGATTTTGTTTGGAGGGGAGCAAGAAAGCTCTCATCTATGAGTTCATGGCTAATGGTTCCTTGGACAAGTTTATCTACAACAAAGGTTCAGAATCCATTACATCTTTGAGTTGGGATAATTTGTATCAAATCTCAAAAGGGATAGCTCGAGGGTTGGAGTACCTGCATAGAGGATGCAATACTCGAATTCTACACTTTGACATAAAGCCACACAATATTCTTTTGGATGAGAATTTTTGCCCCAAGATATCAGATTTTGGGCTAGCAAAGCTGTGTCCTAGGAAAGATAGCATTATTTCCATGGCAGATACTAGAGGTACACTGGGATATGTAGCTCCAGAAATGTGCAATAGACATTTCGGTGGAGTTTCACATAAGTCTGATGTTTATAGCTATGGGATGATGCTGCTAGAAATGGTGGGAGGGAGGAAGAACATCAATGCTGAAGCGAGTCACACAAGTGAGATATACTTTCCACATTTGGTATATACGAGGCTTGAGGAGGACAACAATTTGAGACCAGATCAAGTGATGCGCATAGAAGAAAATGAGATTGTTAAGAGAATGACCATAGTGGGATTATGGTGCATTCAAACGTTTCCCAATGACAGACCTACAATGAGTGGAGTGGTAGAAATGTTGGAAGGCAACATGAATTCCTTGGAAATGCCACCAAAACCTTTGTTTTCTTCTCCTACTAGATCATTAACATGTTCTCTCTCTTGAATGTAATTTCATTGTATTTTGGTAAAATCTTTCATGATTTATTGTGAAATCCAACATAACAGGTACCCCTCCAACAACGAATCCAAAGGGTATTTTTTACTCACGAAAAGACAATTCTTAATTCAAAAAAAAAAAAGGTTAAGTTTTGATTATGGTAGAGTTTTAACATAAAATAAATTGTTAACGAGAAGTAGTTCAACTGATATTTAAAATATACCGTATGAGAAAAGTGATGTGAAAAGCAAATGGGGGGTTGGATGCAGTGATGATAGTTTGACTAGTAGAAAATATCCCAACCTTCAAATAACTCACTTTTATTAATATAATAATTTATTAACTAAATTAATAAAAATAAAAAATAATTAAAATTATTATTATAATAATCTATTAAATAATTTAATAAAAATAAAAATAAATTAAAATTATTATTATAATATTAAAAGAAAAATATTTATAAAAATGGTATGAATTTGTATCGTAAAAATATCATTTTCGGTCTCGATGTATTTAATCTCCCCTGCATCGATTGCAAACGCTAGAACAATTTGTGTAGAATAACTTTCTTTTAGTCAGCTCAATTGAAGAGAAGGGAGTTTTTCATTGATAAGTTAAAATATCACTATCATTTTTAACTGAAAATAATGATGTTTAAAAACTTTTTAAATGAAATATTTACCCTTTTTTATAATTCATGTTGTAGAAAAAATATACCACATCTTATTTTCTAAAATATATTTCACTACCATTTATTTTAAAAACTAAAAATTAATATTAATACTGCTATATTATAAATGTTCTGATACATTTAGAAATCGAGATAAAACGATAATATCTCTATCATAAAATTGACCTTGACATTAACAATGTTATCTTAATAAATATGAGATCATGATATTTTTCATCCCATCTTTTATAATTAAATATTATTCGTTACGGTTTCAGGTGCACAAATCTAAATACGTGTAAACATACCGAATGTAATAATAAATATAAAGTAGATATTATATTATATAAAAGATATCAAATTGTTTCGGTAACTAAAAACCACTTTTAAATTATAGTGTTGCTATGGCAAAAGATTATTGTTTTAAATTATTAAAAACAACACATGTTATAAATGGCGTGCCAACAACGCTTACCAATAACTACTACTAAACTTTTAACAGATAAAACCATAGTGGTCCTCCGAAAGAAAAAAAGATAGAAAATAAGAAATAAGTGAAATATAAAAAAAGTAAATAAGACAACGAACTCTAAGCCCAAAGTCCCCTTCTACCTTACAAGATAAATTTTTTATTTTAAAAAATTTGAGAAAAAGTCACAAAGAAAGTAAAAGAACAAACTTGACAGATATTAGTAAGTAATGGGTTAATTCTTTTTATATATATATATATATAAAGAGATTCGAGCTCACCTTGTTGACATATAATCTTATATCTCCACGAAATAAATTATATAACATAACTACTAGAAAAAAAATATATACAAAAAACATATTTTATTAATTTTATTTTTGTAGTTTATTAAATTGAAAATAAAAATAGAAAATGTTTTAACAAAATAATTATAACATAAGTGATTTAATTTTAAAAAATTAAAAAATATTTTTAAAAACGGTAAATAAATCCAAAGAAAAAGATAGAAAGTAATATATCAACAATATATAGCAAAAAGTGAAACAAAAAAAAATCTACAATTAAAAGTTAAAACTTACAAATCACAGCGTTCACATCTACCTTAAAAGAAGAGAAGATTTTCTTAAAAGCCTACACAGATTTTTTGGTCATCCTTCTCAGATTCGTTGGAATCAAGATTAAAATTTTGTATATAATTATTTTTATTGTTAAAAGCCTGAACATAATTATTATTTTAATAAACTTAGATTTCAAATTAAAATAATTAAAATTATTTTACAAAGCCTAAACGAGGACGCAAAAACACGCCAAGAGAAAGTAAATTTAACCAAATATTTGGTGCATGATAGGAGAGAATGATCTCAACAAGTTATTTAGTACTATGAAAAAATAATAAAGGTTAAATCAGAAAACAGATCTTTATACAACATTTGTTTCTTTTATTTGATCATTAAATATAGCCATATGTGCATGAAAGAATAGTTACAAATTAATCTTTAACAATTTGAATAAATTATAATGGTTTTTAACTTTTTATCAAGTGAAGTGACTGATATGAGTAATTTAGCACCAGCACAATCTCAGAAGAATATGAGTGTTTAAAGGATGGGTTCAATATTTTTTCATTTGATAAGAAATATGATAAAAAGTAGTCTCACAAGCACTGATATGCATACTACTATATTTACACAGTATATGACATCAACCATATATATACACACAATAAGATGAGTGTTCAAGAGTCAGGCCGCCGTGAAACTGCAAACAAAATTAAAGCAAACAACTTCGGCCACGCTTGCAGAATTCAACATCCTGCTGCATTGCTGAACAGACAGATCTACAACAAAGTTAATTTGTCACATCATGTTCTGTTAGTCTACCTTGTAAGCCCACCCATGTTTGTCCAAGAATGCCTGAACCGCTTCCTTAATGGCCAAGTTTGGCACTAATTGTGATTGATCAAGTGGTTCCCGCGTGATTGGGTCGAATTTACCCACCTGTATGAAATGTTAAATGATTGCACACAGGTTTCATTGAAATGGAAACATTCAATAAGGAAGAAGAAACGTGCAAATCAGGTTACCTTCTGAAGGTGCTCAAGAATCACTGCTCTCTCATATGTAAGCCCACTTGGAGTGATTACAGGATCATGAAAAATGTCGAGTGTGATTCTACAGCATAAGTAATCTGGCACCTGTAGACTCAACAAACCATTTTGTGTAAGATGGTAATTTCCAGGGCACCAATAAAGAAGATTTGATGAAGATTAAGAAAAAAAAAAACCATGTACACACCTCAGTAGGTGTGTCAGCTTCTGCAGCTATATTGAAGACAACTTCTAAAGCCTCTAATTGTTCCAAATTGGTAGTAGATTCCTCTACAAATCCTTCCGTTTGGGAGAAATCGAGAAAATGCCTTTCCTTCAGAGCAGACTCGCATGCTTCTCTGAGAAATTTAACACATTTTATGACAAAACATGACTGGCAATTTAAGTAATAATTACTAAACAACAAATAAATGATAGTATGCAACCTAAAAACAAATTGTGCATTAGGTAATAAGAAATATGTTAAGGGCAACAGAACTGCAATCACTTCTAAAGGACCCACAGATAATAGGTCTGACAATCACCAGAAAAACATACTTCAAGCTCTGCAATTCCCACGATCGTTCGGCCGATGATAGCTCCCACTCATGGTATTTGGCCTTTGCAAGCTCTTGCCATATTTCTTCTACCATATAGCCCTTGGGATTGGCACCTCTCCCGAGATCCAAAGCCTTAATCATGATCATAAACAATAGCAGAATCATTATGTTAATTGAAATGAAAAAAAAAAGGTAAAATAAATATTTATATATCAGAAAAGCACAGTATAGAGTAGATAATCAGAAAATTTATGTTAATTAGATGTGATATCAAATTCAAAAGATGAGAGCTGCGTATCCATTAACAGCTAAAGGGATATATTTATTCTCAAGTTAAACAACAATAAAAGTTTGAACCAAGTTGAATTCATATTTTGTGCCTTACATTTGATATGCTTTATATATTATATTCTTCACGACTCACCTGAAAAGTTTGAAATCTCAAAACTTAACAATATCATAGTCCCCACGCATTTAGATGATATTTTGACTCTTTAGGTTCACTAATCTCATCAAACACAATGAACACTTTTATATATCACATTTGACTGTTGTAGAAGTCACCATGAGCTAAATAAAGAACAGTTACATACAATAGTAACAGTTGTAAAGTATGAAAGGATAAGCAATATTGTTACAATAAAACTAAACTAAACTAACATTGACTCAAAAAGACACCTAATAAATTAGTAGTCATTACTTGTAGAATTAATAATGCTTAAATAAGTTTTAGGTTTCCAATACACAAACCATTTTTGTTTAAAGTACCCAATAAAAAAAATTTAAATTATAAATTAATTTCCCTGAAAATAAATATTTATCCGTATTCATCCTTACTATTATTATATTGACACTTTTAACCAATGGTTGAAATAATTTTAGAATCTCGAGGTTGACTAACTTACTTGTCAAGCAATTAAAAATTAATGATTTCTTGCAACAGATATAATATACAAATTAATAAAAGTGCAAGAAACACACCGAAAAGGTGTTTAACGTCAACAAACCTTCTCCAATTCTTTAATTCCCTTGGCAGATTCTTGTCTCCGTAGCAATGCGAGCCCCAACATATAGTGGGCCTGAGATATATACAAAAGGAAAATTCAGCCGGAAACAACACAATCTCCACAAGAAACATAAATTAACAATGAAAAAACTAAATGATCAACATGCAACAAATATCAGATATAAAATATAGCCCATCAACAACTCCACCAAGAAGTGGTTTTACATAATTGATAACTTGATAAGGAAACTGCTTCCAAAGTAAACCCAAATGGTACATGCATATGCACTCATATGCACACACCATTTTATAAAACACATATGTATCAGGTTCTGATACTTGCTGCGCAAAGTTGAATACTAGGAGCCCATCTCCCCACCCAAAAATATGACAGTTCCCATAAATGTTTTTTGAGTAGAACTGTGGAAGAAACGTCCATGCCCTTCCTTTAACTCAGTAGCTCATCCTTTTTTGGTTCTAAGCCCTCTATATGTTTCAAGTGCTCAAACTCTTCTCTATCTTCGTGCAGTGTTCTGCTTTTGTCTTGCTTTTCAACTTCATTGGCCATCCTCTATGTCCCCCTCAATCATGGGCTCATGGCATGAACCACTTAAAAACTTACCTTTATTTTTCAGCATCTATATTTGGGTAAGATAAAATATTTCATAGTAACATATAGTATTCACTCTAGTAGTCATCCGCTAGAGCAACTTTAGTGTTGGCCATTCACACCACTATTCAGGATTGAAAACTATGGTTTATGTTTAGTGTAACCAAGAAAATTTAATATATTTCTATTTCTAAATCTAATCTGAAGATTTGTTCCTATAAAGAGGCTGGTTCTCATTCTTGGAAAAGGCAGATTTGTTGTGATGTGATTCAATTTGATTTGGAATGTATACAATATTTATCCCCCGCCTACTTCCTTAATTAGGTGAGATGAAGATTATAAGTAGTGTATGTACTCTCTCGGCAAATACAAGTTCAAAATACAATTTAGATGTATTCATTTTTTCAAGTCGTTTAGACATGATATCAGAGTGATATCATCCACCTTGACTTGCCCTGTGGCTTCCTAAAATTTGGAGGTTTACTTGAATTTCTGCTTCTTGTGTTGTACAATGCTGATCTACTTTTGTTTGTTAACAAACAATTGCTACTGTTTGGCTCTTGCTCTTTTATTTTGACTTTGTTTGATCTTCAGATTTCTCTTTCAAAAGATTTACTTGTTGAACTGCTGCCTCGTTTCTGTTTAAGGTACCCCCTACATTTGGTACTTTCATAATTTGTGCTGCCTTAATTGCAGCATACGGCACTTTCAGTGTGTCCCTTTTTTGCGGTTCATTGAAGCATTTGGCAGCCCTTTTCTTACAGGCTTCACTGCAACATCTGTATTCATAGGCTACCTTTATTACAGCCACCTCGCAGTGGCCACTTAGCAATAGCATGGAAAAAACTATATTAAAAGGATTCGTGTGGTATGAATCTACTCCACAGTTAGAAATGTAATATATATCAGAACACTAAAATTGTACTATCAATGTTTTCACAGAGAACTACTTCACATTTTATGAAGCCCCAATACTTAATAACTCATAAGTTAATATGAGACAAGTACAATGCAACATGGATACATGGATATGAAATTCTTACAAAAACAAGATATGATACAGCCCAAGAACATTACCATAAACACATTTTATATAAATGCCCAATATTTGTGCAAAGGAATATGATATTGATAATATCTCATTAAAACATAAACAAATAACTATAACAGTGGATGATCATCACAATTAAAAAAAATGGAATCATAACAAAATCCCAAGTTACATATCTTTCTATCGCTTGCACGTATCAGAACAAGTCATTTTACCTATGAAGATGTTACAAAAAGCTACATATTTTTCTCCAAATGATGTCAATGAAAAAGTGTCATTAATCCTATTCAAAAGAAGCTTTAACTCTATATAGGTGTCCACCATTTATTATAATTGTAAGGATACAGAGGAAAAGGCATTCAAATTATCAAAGTCGTATCTCAAATGCACGGATCAATAAAACTTCAACAATAATAAACAAAAAAGAGAAGCCAAACACTATCATATGCATATTGGCATCAAACATGCAGCTGTCACCAATTGGTTTGTAACCTGATGTTTACAACTATATTACTCTGAGTTAGTTAATATCTAGGTTTGCGCCCATAATTACTCTATTTTAGTTATTTATCCGAACAATGTAGAATCTCCAACCCACCCTTCATGCAATCATCTCAAGCGCGAAACTAGATATCTGTGAACAGTCTAATAGTGGCACGACATTAGATGGCACAATAAATCCAACAAACATCGTTAGGCTAGATTCTAAATATCATCTTAGACATAGGTCTAGCCCTCACTCAGACACTACAGAACCGACTTTTAAGATGAGTTTTGCATCATCTATATACTCTATGTCAGTCATCCTATAAACAAAGTGGAATCTCCAGTACATACTTAACCCATCAAATGATATACTAAAACCTCATAATAAATAATTAACAAACACATGTACAACACAGGAACTACAAAAATCACAAGGAAAATTAGCAACAAAACCTTAACTGAACTGCTGTCCAACTGAATTGCCTTCCGAGAGTCCTCCTCCACTCTCTCCCAGTCACTACAACCAAACCAAACACAAACAAAAACCATTCTTAATCGCATTGCAATCTCTAAATTTCCGAAAAAATTACATGCAACAAATGAAGTTAAAACAAGAAGCGCGAAATTAGACGGTCTCACATACTTGCGCTTGAGATGGCACAGTGCGCGATTCGACCAGTAAATCGGAACATTAGGGCACAGCGTAATCGCCTTCACACCCAAACAAAAAAAGGTTAACTTTAATTAATTACTCAAATCCCCGTTAACGGCAACCGAAGAAGAAGAAAAAGAAGAACGAGAAGAAGCGAATACCTCGGTGTAAGCGTCTATGGCGGCACCGAAACGGTCTTTCTTGAAGTAAGTGTTACCGTCAATCCGGAGCTTCTCCGCTTGTTTCGCGGCCGCAGGGTTTGGCCCCATTTCGTCCAATTCTCTAACTTTCTAGAAAATTCTATGGCACGCGACTGGGTTCATATAAATAGTGTCCTTAATATGTGAAACTATAAAGATAAATATATAATAAATAAAGATATAATCTTTGTGTTTATGGATTGGTGATTTATGAAGAGAAGGGTAAATGTTCGAGAATTGTCCGGCGGACGAAGAAGAATGAGAGAGAAATAAAAAAAAACGAGAAAGAGGAAAGAGGAAACAACAACGTGTCGAAGAAGTTGTTGTTGACTCACTTTCTTCGTTTGTTCGTCAAGCAAATAATAATTGTGAAGTTTGATTTGATTGGACGAATTGGATTTATCAGATGCAGAACTTTTCAGAATGAAAAACCTCATATTGGTACGAATAATATTCTATTGTATTATATACGAAATTTTAAAATTGCTTTTTATGCTATCATAAGATAATATTATTTTTTTATGATATATATTATTATTTATATGGATTTTTTAAATGCTTTTATATCATTACTTATAAAAATATTATATTTTATTATAAAATAAGTTAGTATAACTAATGAAAAGAAATGTTCCACACTTTTATTGTATATTAACTTTTCATAAAATTTACTTCTTTTTTTCATATATTGCTTCTTCACATCTTACATATTTTCACGTCCTTTCTCCACTAGTTTATCTAACGCACTTTTGCTTCTTTTTTTCTATTTTTAAATATATAATATTGTAATAATTATTTTTTCCTATATTATTTATATTCTTAATAGTTATAAAAAAATTGTTTTATAAAAAATAGTATATTTAATAAAAAATAATTAAAAATTATTTAAAAAAGCATTTTCTTAATTAAGGATGGAACCGAGAATTGGTATAGAAATATTATGATCAATCTCAAATTTTTCTTTCATAGAATTATTTATATATATATATATATATATATATATATATATATGTTTTTAATTTTTTTCAGAAAAAAATTGACATATCCTTCCCAACTTTTCTTTCTACCTCTGGCTTTGTCCTTGATATATACTATAAATATTAGAAATTTTAAAAATAGTATAAAGATGAAAAAGAAAATAATACGTATAATGAGTGAGTAGAGAAAACTTTATATAGAGAGAGATAAAGTGGAGATAGCTAAATAAAATAAAGTAAAATTTTAAAAATAATATTTAAATAAGTTTTAATGATGGTGTTTCCACTAATTATAAAAGGATTTATTTTGATAATATATAAGAAAAATATAAAGGAAAAATAATTATTATAATATAATATATTTTAAAAAAATAGTAGAGAGAGGGAAAGAAAAAGAAGTATAACACTTATAATGAATTGAGGGGAAAAACTTAGAATAAATCTAAATAATGGACAAAAAACGTATAAAAAATAAAACAAAATTTAAAAAGATTCAAAAAGTTAGTAATATAAAAAATTATGAACATTCATATCCTTCACACGTGTTTTCATTAGCAATACATAATACGTGTTAATTAAGTAATAGAATAAATTTTAAGGCATTTTCAACTACTAATATTCTTAATTTGAAAAATTATAAAATAAATATTTATAATATCACATACTTTTAAGTAATTTATTTATGATATTACTCTATTAAAAAAAATTAATAAATTTTAAAAAAATTATTTTCTCTCCTATTTTCTCTTTTCCTTTATTTTGGTTTGTTTATTTTTTAAGTTGTTTGATACAATAACTATCAAAAAAATTTAAACATTTATCATGCAATATAGGATTCCTCTAATGCAAAGTTACTCCAAATAACTAATCATTTATTTAAGCATATTAATAAACAACTATCATTAAAGATAATTTTATAAGTGTTAGTCTTCTTATATCCGTTTATTGAGATATTCTTCTTCGTCCGAAAAATTATATACCATAACAAAAGGTACCTTGTTATATGTCTATAAATGTGTTTGCAAAAAAAGTTCTGAGACTAAGTTAGGCGTAATTATTTTCATTATCATAATTGGATTTATCATTTATCTTAATCATGTTCGTTATGTTTTGTTTAAAATTTATACGAAGGAAGCTTTTGTATGTTGGGATTGAGGTGGAGACAAAATTAAAAGTTGAATATGCTCTTATGAGTCTCTAATTAGAAATTACTTCAAGCAACTAATACTTTATGTAAGCATTTCAATAAGCAACTCCCATTGAAGAAGCTCACACTAGCGGAAAAACGGGTTTTTACGTTATCCAATTGTCATCGTATGTAAAATATTCGATGTAAATAAAACGCGGTGGCAATTTTGTAAATAAGAGGCGAAACTTTTACGTTGCACATCCTAGGAGGTGACGTAAAAAGCCTCTTTTACGTAAAAAGTGTCTTTTATTCTCTTCCAGACCCGCCCCTCGTCTGGCGCAGTAAAGGTTTTTGAGGACGACGACAGCTACTTTTCCACGCCATTTTCGATCATTTTGACAGTGAAAAACATCAACATTGTGTCTCATTTTACGAATTTGACATTTCTCCCTGATTGGATTCGAGTTTGAAATCATTTTCGTGTATACTCGAGGTTAGTGTTTTATGTCTTCTGATATATGTTTAAATTGAATCCGTGATTATTTTTTGGGATCTCAATCACGTTATTGTATGAATGTCTCCACTGGATTGTTATTGGAATGTCATTATTTGTTTATTTGTTTGAGTGCATTTTCGGTTTACACACTTCATTTACATGTTTTGTTGTTTGTATATTAATTTCTTTTTAAATATAAATTTTGAATCTCTAGGAGTGACGAAACTTTATAACATAATATGAATCGAAGTTGGATGAATGCACGTCGTATTAGTGAAGAGTACGAAAAAGGAGTTGAAGAATTTTTGAAATTTGCTAGTGAAAATGAAAAAGCTATGAAAGGGACATATTATTGTCCATGTGTTCTATGTTTAAATCAAATTCGTCATAAACTTGAGGATATACGTGATCACTTGTTTGTTTATGGTATTATTAAGAGTTATACAATATGGACATGACATGGAGAAATATTAGACATCCCAACTATGTCAACTACAAACAATTTTGACGAAGAGATGGATGATAATCTAGAGGATATGATACGTGATATTAGTGAAAAAAAATTTACGAAAGCACATCTATATGATTCTTTGAAATCTGATTTTGCGCAACAATTGTACATAGGATGTAGTTTTACAAGATTATCAGCAACTTTAAGATTGTTTACTTTAAAAGCAAGAAATGGATGGACTGATAAAAGTTTCACCGAATTATTGGAGTTGTTGAAGGAGATGTTTCCCGAAGATAATACATTACCTATTCGTAACTATGAGGCAAAGAAGATATTATGTCCAATGGGTTTAGAGTACAAGAAGATACATGCATGTCCTAATGATTATATATTGTACAGAAATAATTTTGCTAAATTAAAGATGTGTCCGACATGTGGTTTGTCGAGGTTCAAAAACAAAGTTGAGGAAAGTAGTGGTGAGGAAGAACTAGATGGTCCCCCTGCTAAGGTGTTATGGTATTTGCCAATTATACCTAGGTTTAAAAGATGATTTGTCATAAAAGAAGATGCAAGAAACTTGACATGGCATGCAAATGGTAGAAAATGTGATAATCTTCTTCGACATCTAGCTGATTCTCCACAATGGAAAAGGATTGATGAAACCTTTCCAGAATTTGGTGCAGAACCAAGAAACTTGAGAATTGGATTAGCTACAGATGGGATGAATCCTTTTGAAAATTTAAGAAGTAAACATAGTTCATGGCCAGTTTTGTTGATCATTTACAATTTGCCTCCTTGGTCATGCATGAAGAGAAAATATATTATATTATCTATGATGATTTCAAGACCTCGACAACCAAGAAATAACATATATGTATATCTTAGTCCTTTAATTGATGATTTGAAGATGTTGTGGGAAACAGGAGTGAAGGTATTTGATTCATATCACGAAGTGAATTTCAGGTTACATGCAATGTTATTTTGTACTATAAATGATTTTCCAGCATATGGTAATTTGAGCGGTTATAGTGTGAAATTTCATTTAGCGTGCCCTTTATGTCAAGAAGACACAAGTTATATCCAATTGAAACATGGACAAAAAACTGCGTACAATAGGCATAGAAAGTTTCTAATTGTTATCATCCATATCATAAAATGAAGAAAGCATTTAATGGATGTCAAGAGAATGCAGTTGCATCAGTACCACGCAATGGTGAACAAGTATATGAGCAAGTGAAAAATATTAATATTATTTTTGGAAAGACCCAAAAGAAATCCAATTAGAAAAACAATTGTAAGAAACAATCTGTATTCTTCAATCTTTCTTATTGGTGTAAGTTGGAAGTTAGACACTGTATAGATGTGATGCATGTTGAAAAAAATGTTTGTGATAGTATAATTGGGACATTACTTAACATAAAAGGAAAGACAAAAGATGGAATAAAAGCACAACAATATTTGGCTGGCATGGGTATACGTTCTGAATTACATCCACAATTAGTTGGAAAACGCACTTACTTACCTCCAGCTTGTCATACTCTATCAAAGAAAGAAAAAAGAAGCTTTTGTGAGTGTTTATGTGAGGTCAAAGTGTCACAAGGATACTCCTCAAATGTTAAGAGTCTTGTGTCTATGCAAGAGTTGAAATTAGTTGGTTTAAAGTCTCATGATTGTCATGTGTTGATGTAACAACTTTTACCAATGACTATTCGAAACATTTTACCAACTTCTATTAAAGTTGCTATTACTCAGTTATGTTTGTTTTTGAACGCCATTTGTAAAAGGTAATTGATCCAAAAAAGTTAGATGAATTGGAAAATGAAGTAATTGTAATAGTGTGCCAATTAGAAATATATTTTCCCCCTTCATTTTTTGATATCATGGTGCATTTGATAGTCCATTTGATAAGGAAAATTCGATTATGTGGTCCAATTTTTCTTAGATGGATGTATCCTATTGAGAGATACATGAAGATATTAAAAAGATATGTGAAGAATCAGTACAGGCCAGAAGCTT